AAAAAAAAAAAAAAAAAAAAAAAGATTTTTTTTCCTTTACAAACTGTGAATAGCTGCCAGAAACACATGCAGAAGCGATGGGGAAGCTGAAGGTGACATGTATCAGTGGAGAGAGAGGGAGAAGGGTGTGCATTTTGAGGAAGGAGGTGGCTTCATGAGGGGAAAGCCCCATGTCACAACACTGGAAAGCAGCTGGGCTCCTTAGCACTTGGCATCAAGTGCTGGGCATGGCTTGGCTCTGGCTGACAGGATTGGAGAGCACGTGCAGTGTGGCTTATGCTTTATTCAATTCTTTTTCCAAAGCAAAAAACAAAACAAACCCACCAACCATGCGCACACACCCCACAGACCCCAGGAGTTAAAATATTTGCTAAAACCATTTAAGGTCATTACTTCCAAGCCCAGAAATTTGAGGGTTGCATCATGTTGCCTCAACCCCAAATCCTTTGTGATCTGCTTTTTTATGGCGTGGTGGCATTGTGGGTGTGGGTCCCTTCCCTGCTGTTTGGTGGAAATGGCAGATTCTTTGGAAACTTCTCTTTGTAATAAAACAAGGTGCTCAGACTTGGTGTGGGGAAGGTTTCTGCCCACGAGCCTCGAGAAGGCCACAGCCCTGGCAGATAGGATGATGGAAGTGGGTAGATAGGTGCACATACTATGTGAGCAGGAGCAATGGCCTCAGCCTTTCCATTCACTGGGGTAGAGGTCAGGCTTTGCAATTTAAAGGGTAGGGGCAGGTGCTACAGGACATTGTTAGGGAAGAAAGTCTGAACTTCCTCCATGAGTCTGGTTAAAACTTACAAAAGGCCCTGCCTTCCCCTGAGTACAACACCGATACTTCCCTCGTGCGCAAGCGCTTTTGGCTGCACCTCTTGCATATCTGCTTTTGCCCAGAATGCATCTGCTCTGCATGGTTTTCAACAGCACTGACCTGTGGGGTCAGCTAAAATGCATGCATCCAGACACGCCCTTCTTAAGGATCATTACTGCTCACAGCCCTTGAAGCCGTTCCTGTCAACAAGGGCTTCTCCCTTCCCACATGCAAACACATGCTTGGGAGAAGATCAAGGAAAGGAAAACACTGACTATTTGGTTACTTTCCAGGCTGGTCACCTTAAAAGGCCTGGGAAGTGGTCCATTGCTGCTTAGCACAGGGCCTCCTGGTGGGAGAAGGGAAGACAGTACACAGGTGTGTACACACACTCTCACTTCCCATCCCCTTCCTGCATTGTTCTACCTTCATGTGTGACATTGTTGCTGGCACTTAATGACTACAAAAAAAAACAGGCTTAGGCACCTCAGGAGTTTTAACTGCAACCAGAGATGGTCTTGGTATTACAGTGGAGAATGCAAACCTCAATCCAATTAAGGATGCAGCAACATGACATTGAATTTGAACTGAGAGAAAAAGTGAGTTCACTCCACTCACTTGAACCCCTACAGAATGAGGCAAAAACAGTTAGTTACTCTGCCTAGAGGGGGAAGCCTTGCAGGGCATTAACAAGGCCAACTGAAGATTATCCAAAGCCTCTTTAGGCACCGAGGCCGAGAGAAGGCAAGTTCTTCTCCCTCCCAGCAAAGTCTGACCCTTATCGCTACCTGCCTTTCCCCTGGAAACTTTTGCATAATGTGCAACAGACAAAAGCAAACTAGACATTTGATTTCTTCCAACAATTGCTCCAAGTTCAGCAATACCAGCCTCCAGTATTAGAGCTTTCCCTTGTGGCACCCTCACCAAGATGATCGATGGGCACTAGAAGCCAAGAAAGGTCTGGAAAACAAGTACAGGTAGGGTACAACTTAACCAGTTTTCATGCAAGTGATACCTGCCATGCCCAGTCAAGTAACCCTTTATTTTATTAGGGTCTACTACAGGACATGTAAAGGTTTCTCACTATGAGCCCTTAACAGGTGCTTCATCCAGGTATAGATAGAAAGCAGCTTTTACAGCCCTCCTGTAATCCAAGCTGATCAAGGTATTAAACACAAGGACAACAGTGAGGTCAACTTGTGTAGTGGCAGAATCCAGGCCTCCCAGGATTTTACCAATGGCAAGTTCCTCCTCTTGCCCAGGCCTTGCCGGTCCCAGGCAGAGATTTGCTTGCAGCCCTTTGGCCATGCCAGACTGCAGTCAAGTTAAACCTCACTACAGCATGGCTAGATTTGTGGATGGGAGACTTACTTTTTCATAACCTCTATGCTTTGCCATGAGCAGCATGTAGTTAAGGGGCTAATGGGTTCATTAGGGTCTTGAGAGGATGGGGGTGGGGGAACCACAAGATGAACATGAGCCACCAATGCAATGCCACAGCTGGTAAAGCAAACCAAGCTCTGGCTTGCATCCATAGACACTTCAGTTAAATCTCAGGATGTCATCCTCCCGCTGTACTCAGCCTTGGGGAGGCTGCAGCTGGAGTACTGCATCCAATTCTGGGCTCCACAATTCAAGAAGGATGTGGAGAAGCTTGAGAGAGTCCCGAGGACAGGCACATGCATGATCAGAGGGCAAGAGAACAGGCCTTATGATGAGAGGCTGAGAACCATGGGATCTTCAGCCTGGAAAAGCTCAGGCTCAAGGGGGACCTAGTGGCTGCTTACAAAGTCCACAGAACATCTGTTCACCAGAGCGCCCCAAGGAAAGACAAGGACCAACGGTCTTAAAACAGTCTTGGACGAGTTTAAGGTGGACATAAGAAAAAAAAAAAAAAAAGAAAATTTCTTTACTGTCCAAGCCCTACCCCCCAAGACCTGAATAGACTCCCTCCAGAAGTGGTGCAGGGCACCTATTCAAGAAACATTTGGGTGTATATCTTGCTGGGGAATCCTTTGGCCCTAGCAAGCTTCCTGCCTCTGGGGCGGGGGGGCTGGACTTGGTGATCTTCGAGGTCCCTTCAAGCCCTAACGTCTATGAAGTCTATGACTACCCCCTTCCCCAGAGGGGGGTGGTGGTCAGAACATAGCTGCAGTCCCACATGCTGGAGACTCCCCTACAAAGGGGTTGCCAGTGCTGGCACTCTGGCCCCTGGGACTTGGCCGGCATTTGCCACTGGTCTAGCTAGCAAGACTTAGTCTCCACAACTGGGCTCAAGCTCAGTCTAATCTGGTATCCCAGCAAGAAGGAAAGTGGGACACAGGGAGCTAATGCTAGGTCTTCTGCAGTTTCCAGGGTACCTGCAAGCCAGGCACAAAAACCATTACTCCCAGGAACAGTTGACTACCTTTATTGGAAAACAAGTAATAGGCACACAGTTAAAACCGGTTTGCTTCAGTCAGAGATTAAAAACCAGAGTAACCCATGCATAGCCAGGATCAAAGCAGTCGAGGAACGTCATTAAAACACTGGTCTGGATGGAGCCAAGCACCAATCCATCTTCCTCAGGCAGGAGCAGCCATTGTCCAAGCATTTCCTATGCCCCTGCCTGCCCCAAAGGTAGTTCTGGAGTCAGGAGACTCTAGCCTGCTTTCTTGCCAGGCTTGCTGCCAGCTTTGGTGGATTTGCCTTCTGTATCCTCTTTCTCTTTGCCAGACTGAGAACCTGGGGCTGCCTCCCCCTTCTTCCCTTTGCCTTTCTCAGCGCCCTTTGCCTCTCCCTTCCCCTTCACAGTGGTTTTCTTGGCAGCAGGAGCTGCCTTGGCTTTGGCTGGTGCCTTCTCACCCTTCGTCTCTTTGGGTTTTGTAGGCTTCTTTGGCCTAGGAGCCGCCTTGGCTTTGGAGGAGGTAGCAGCCCTCTGGTCTCCTGCCTCCACTTTGGAGGGGCCACCCCCTCCTGGGACCATCTTCTCTTTTCTGGCAGTTTTCTTTGCCTCATTAGCCGCTTTCCCTTGAGGCCCCTCTTTGGCACGGGGCTGCTTCTTTGCCGGCATTGCTTTGCCATCAGAAGTCTTTGGCTTCACTGGAGCTTTCTGTTGGCCCTACCAAGAGAAGGAGTTTGAGGCTCGTTATCGCAATAGCACATGCTCACTTAACCAGCCACAAGCCCATAGCAAGGTGAGGGAGCGGTGGGTTTAGTAGACAGCAGCTTTGAATTCTGCCCTCTGTTCCCCATAATGGAAAACACGCACCCCCCATATTTCCTTCACAGCTTGGAAAAGAGTTAATACTTCAGGACTCCGCAGCAGGAAGCCGCTTCCTTGCCAATATTCCTCACACACAACTTTACAAGAGCAGCTGCTCCCAAGCTCTTCCCTTTGCACTGCAGTTATGAGGCTCATCAAGGAGATGGATGGCAGCCAGTACTTACATTGGCAAGTTTTGCCTTGGGTTTCTTCTTCTCAGCTTTGGGTTTCCCCTCCATTGCATCTCCTGAAAGGAAATGTTGGGGGAGGATGAGTTGGTTCTTCCCACGCATGTGTCCACTCCATGCAAGGCTATAGCCACCCCCACCCCCCCAAATAGCTTCACAGGAAAGATGCCCCCTTGTAGAGCGGGGTAGTTCCAGCACACCAGGAGATGTGGGCATCAATGAGGAGGAGTGTGGGCACTGCAGACTCCCTCCTGAAGGCAGCTAAAGCAGCCAACTGAACACTACAGCATGGTTTAGTAGAGGTCAATAGGGTCAGCAGAAGCAACCAGCAGTTTTCAATGCTTGCTTTCAGAGCCACTGAGGCCCAGGCCATGCTGGGTGGCTGTAGCACTGGTGAAGTCAGGTCAAGAAGCAGGCGCCAATAAAGGACTTGAATGCGAGCTTGTAGGTCCAGAGCGGAGCCCAGAGCCCTGCAGGAGGTACCAGAGGAGGCAGGCACCTCAGGACAGGATCCAGTCAGCACCGAGCTGGTTGAGCGCTCGGTTGCTCCCAAGAGGGAGCAGAGCAGACAAGGCCTACACGCCTTCAGGTGCCTCATTCAGGGCCCCCCACACAGGTGTGAGCCAGTGACTAGCCTAATGCAGGAGACCCTTGCTCCAGACCAGCCAGAGAGGGGGGTCAAAGCCTCCCCCAGGCCAAGCAGGGGCTGGAACTTGGGGCTCTCACTTCCTTGGGCAGCAGCTCTGGCCACTGGGATATCCATGAAGGGGCACAGCCCAGCATCAACGCCGTGTCCAGGCACAGACTGGAGGACACTGTGGCCATCGCTGCATGCGGTAAGGTGCCCAGGCCTGCAGGGGCATGTTGGGCAGCCTCAAGCAGAGTTATCAGCTCAAGACTTTGGGTAGGAACCTAGGTTCTGGACCCCGACTTGCTTTGGTATGAATGAGGCACTGAACTGCACAGCTTCATCAGCCCTGGGCAATTCTGGATGTGCAGATGCAGCTGTATGTGCCTCCAAGCTCCAAGGTCCAGCAGAAAGGTGCCCCGGGGCAGTAGGGAGGGGGTCAGGCACTACAGGGCTGGGCTGGGCTGGGACCGAGTCAGGATCACAACCTCGGCACCCGAGATGGACCAGGGTCTGCTCAGGCATTTGCTGCTTTCTTGGTCAGGTTTGCTGGAGAGCCAGGCCCCGAGGGCCAACACCAGTGCTCTAAAAAAGAGACATGTCCATTCACCCAGCAGCCTGCGCCCATTGCCAACCTCTGCAGAGGGAGCCGAGCAGTACAGGGGAAGAAAGGGGCCCTCTCACCTTTATTGCCAGCTTTCCCAGCAGCTGCTTTGTGTTTTTTTGCTCCTGGTTTCCCCGGTTTGGGGCCCTTTCCTTCTGCTGGATCTACCTTTCCCGATGCTTTTTTAAGCTTGGGCTTCTCAGGTGCTAACTAGTAAAAAGCAAGAGCAAAGCAACAATCACTGCATGCAGTTCAGCTGCTGGGCGAGCACACTTGGAGCCAGGCACCAGGTAGGCGTAGTTCAAAGGCTGACACCAAGGAGAGGCAGGCAATTTCCATCAGCCCATCCTCTTGGCAAAGCTTCCATAGGCATCATACAGCTTCCAGCCCTGCCACAGACCATTGTTTGGTGGGCAGCTCCCATTGCCCCGGCCACCCAGTAGTCCTGTATGGGGCAGCTGGCTACATCCCAGGACACCCAGGGCCCCATGTCATCCAGTCTTTCCATAGCCAAGGCACATCTACCTGCAGCCTGAAAAACATCATTATGGGATAAGCCACGATTTCCGTGTAACCGTGATCGTTGCTCCCACCTCAGGAGGGTCACTTGCCCCATTGACCTTCCCCGAGGCCCACAGCCCTGCCTACTCATTTCAAGGGACAAGAGACTCCCAGCCAGAGAGGGGGTTGCCCCATTCACCCGGCTCTTGGCATCTTGCTGTAGAGCAGCTGGGCAGGCATCTTTCCCAGGACACGCAGGGTCCGGCCCAGGTTTGGGGCCTGGGCATCCAACACCATGCAGCCCATGGCAGTTGATCCAGCAAGCAACTCACCTTAAACCTTCCTGTGGCCCCCAAAGCAGAGGAGTTCTGGGGTCTCACCAGGCACCCATCCTTAAGGCCCTTGGTCAGGGCCTTTTTCAGCAGGTATTTCAGTCGGATTGAGTCTACAGCAGGGTACTTGGTGAGGATATAGCGCTTGATGGCAACGACCGAGGTGCCCTTCCGCTCGTTCTGAGCCTTCAGCGCTTCAATCACCATGCTGAGCGTCGGCGGGTGGCTGCCTTTGCTTTTGCAGTTAAAGATGCTGGACAGCCTGGCCACCTTGGCTGAGCAGGAGAGAGCATGGGGGAAGAGGACAGTTACCATCAGGCTCAGGAACGTGGCTCGCCTCTATTCACAGCGAGAAGATACACAAGCAGAAAACCCAAGGCAGTTATAACAGCAGTAGCACCTGCCGCCCTCAGCTTGAATCAGGCCCCTTTTTGACCAAGGCCCGTGGGCAGGTCAAGCTCTGCCTTGAGGTCTTCACAGACCAAAAGAGACAGCCTTTGCATTTGCAGGGGGATGTGAATTAGAGACACTGAGGCTTAGGGGAGGTTTAAGTATCAGCTCACACCAATTTCAGCATCCATTAGGAAGACAAATACCTTCAGCAGTCTGGCCTTGACCTCACAAGAAGCCTGCGCACGGGCTCGAGATCGGCCTGGGGAGCCGAGTCTTCTCTCCTTAGCCACAAGGACATTTTTCTCCCTGGGAGGAGGCCCCACTGGCAGGCTCTTCCTCAGAGCAGAGCACAGATGGTGACCTGGCAACACTAGTTAAGTTTCTCCAAGCCTTTTTAAGTGCTCCAAGGTCTGCCCACACCCATTCTCCCATCACTCAGACAGGGCTCAGGGGGTTAATTTAGTTACCTGAAATCCACCAAAACAAGCCACTTTCAAGCCCCCCCCTCCCCTGAGAGGCTATTTTGAATAAAATAATAATGACAGTTTGATCCCTAAGAGGATTCACTTGCACTGAAGGGATTAGAGCTCGAGATTCATATTCAGAGGAGTCAAAGGACATGCAAGAAAGAGACAGCCAAATCCTGACCACCCAGGTGGAATGGAGGCCTTACCTGGCTTGGAGGCCATTACAACAACAGCCATTGCTCACAGCAGACTTCCCAGTCTGCTGCCTCACATGGCAGCCCAGCCCAGACTGGCTGCAAAGAGGATTTTATTCACAGGTTCACCTCACTTTCCTGCTAATTTCTCTGATTAGCATCTTAATTGAGAGGGCTGCAGCCGGCAGCTGCTAATTATTCTCATTCAAGTCCCCGTGCCAGTGAGATGGGGAACAGGTGGCAGCAGCAGGGCTGAGTTTCGTTTGCCAGCTCTGTGGGACAGGCGAGCGGGTGCAGGGGAGGACTCCAAACCTAAGCCATCTCTGCCGCTGACCAAACCATCGCCTTTCATCTGCGGGTGGCATTCATTGGAGCAGGTGCAGCCGCGCAGGGCGTCAGATCCTGCCACCAAGCGGCTGTGGGATGCCTGGGTGGGGCGAGTCTGTCCACGCACGCCCCAGGGCAGAGGTCTGTGTTGTGGGAGCCCCGAGCTGCCCAGTGCAGCTGTCCTCTGTGCACAGAGACCGACTAAGGAGGCAGCAAGGGAAATGAAGGAGACTGAGGATGAGCTGGGAGTTGCTGGCAAAGAGCACCCCAGGCTGGATGAGGCCAGAGTGTCAGCCCTATGTTTTCCCTTCTCCAGGGGCACAGGAGGTTTGTGCCTGCACCCTGCTCGCTGGCTTTGCCAGCTGCTCGCCCCAGCGGAGCCAAAGCCCTAAGCACCGCACCAGAAACACTCAGGCCTGGACTAGGTCCATAATGAGTTTGCTGGCTCTGTCATAATCCCCATTTGTCTAATGCATCTTGGCAGTCTCTGAGCTCCAGGGGCACCCAGATGGGAACAGCAAGGATGTGAGAAACCAGGACTGGGAAGCTCCGGCAGGAGCCTGAGCTGCTCCTGCTTACGCATGTAAGTGGAAAGTGCCAGTGCTGGCCAGAGGCCGGTCTCTGTAGGCATGTAACTCAGCAGCTCAGAGAGAAAGAGAGAGAGATTGCACGAGCTAAAGGGAGCATGTGCTCAGACAGAAGGAGCAAATGCGGCTTCCAAACTAGCATTTCAGACAGCCCCAGGGTGGGTCCATACTGTGTCCACAGAGGTCCTGAGACCACTGCTAAGAGACCTGCCCTACCCCCTGCAGGTGTGTTGCACTCTGAAAATAACTTGTGCGTTTGCTGTTCGAGGGGTGGTGCGTCTGCCCCATGATGATCTCAGGAGCAATCCCTGGACTGAGATCCTGGGAGCACCCCTGACCACACCGTAAAGCTACTGCACAGTGTTTTGGGGGGTGAATGTGGAGCAGGATCAAGTGGGCAGGGCTTGTTTTTTTGACAACCGTCTTGAGATGACTGCAAACATGGTACAAGCCCATACCTTGTGGACACCAGCAATGGGCAAGGGGCAGAGCTGCGGTCTCACCTTACACTTGGGTCTTTCTGGTGAAACTCACCAAAATACAAGAGCAATTTCTGCTCGTCCTCAGCTAACACCTGCTATCACCCAACCGAGTTGTGCTGGTGTCTTCAATGACTTGATACAATCTTCACCCATCCGTGTGCTTCTCGCACTCTCCACTCTGCCTGAGCTGCTTCTGCAGCATGTGCCTTGTATTGGGAGAGGCATTGTCTTCTACAGGACACCTAAAGAGAAGAAAATGAGATGAGACCTGAGCTGTTGGCTATTTGAGGCCATCGAGGAACTCATGGTACTTTATTTTTGTACTAATTCTGAACTTTTAACATCAGTCCTGCTCAGATTCAGATCGGACCATCACACTGCCCTACACACATTCCTCCCAGGGGATCAGCTGCATGTGATGATCTTCTCCCCTTCCTGGTCTAAATCGCCATGTGCTGTTGCTGATAATTGTGAGATATTGTCAGGGTTTCATGCTAGAAATGGCCACATTTCTGTAGTGGATGAAATGTGAGTCCTTAGTTTTTTTTTATAGGTTTGGCCAGCTGTCATTTGTAAAATCACTTGTGGATCAAAGACTTCACAGACATGCTGGGATTATCTGAAGGAGACTTTAATTCCTGGTTTATTCAATACATTTATTAGATGTTTAGGAATGTGTAAATCTGCCCAGAGATCTCTCATGTTAAATGTCTATAAGGAACCAGAAAAAAACAAAACCTATGCAGGTGAAGCGGAGCTGGCTTCGCATTTGCATTGCAGCCTCCCTTGTTAAGGCAGGTATAATTCAGCAGCTCTTCAGGCAGCTGATGTGTCTGGACAAAATCAGTACCAGCTTCTACCCCCTCCCCAACCACAGCAGATGTTTCTGCTTTGGATTGATTTTGCTTTGGAATAAGAGATGGAGCCGCACCTCTCAGCAGCAAAGGGAGGACTGCTGAGCAGTTGTGATACCAGCGCTGGAGCTCACAGGGAATAGCTAAGACTGAACATTTCCCCAGGGGGCCACAGCTCCTGGGATCAATCTCAAAGCTCTTCTCTGAAAGAAAGCAATCAAAACTTTGACTTGTATCCAGGACTACTGCCACTGCCTGCTAGGCGAGAGCGCTGGTTTTACTGCTCCCCAGTCTCACTTATTCCTTCTGTTTGTCTTCACCATTTGTCACTTTGGGTGCAAGTCCTGTCTGGGTTACCCCTTACAAGTACGGCTGTCAGCTGCCATTGTAGCCAATGCAGCAGAGTTGAACCAGGGGCCTTTGGAGTTAAGTATGAGCTGTTGTTTGAAATAAAGAGTAAAGATACCTTGGGTCTGTGAGTCAATCCAGGTGTCTGCTTTATACAGGCTCCACAACTGAAAGATCAATGCCCACTGAACTACTTCTGCACGCTCTACAGTGATCCTTCGAGGCTGTTGGTGAAGCCCCTCTAAGGAGCAGTTTATGGGAGTGTTTGTGCTGCTGTTGCTGATACTCCACTGGTGTTTAAGGCGAGCTCACGTCTTTGGTTTCCAGCTAGCTCCCAGGCAAAGATGTCAGGCAGGATACAGGATGAAGGATGTACTTCAAACCAGGGCAGTGGATCTGCAGCACCCTTCAAATATTTGTTGTGTGTGGGCAAAAGCAAATGGATCTCTCCATTGAAGAGTGCTGCAGCGAAATGTTGTGAGATCCCAAAAGGAGAGATGCAGCAGAAGAGGGCATGGCATTTTGCTTACTCCTTAGAGCAGCTCTGAATGCAAGCCATCTCCTCCTCTTGGCTACATTGGCCTGGTCATTGTCAAGACTATGACAGGGTTTTCAGCCCACCATCTCAATGACTGTATTCTTTCTGTAAAGGGAAATATAACTGGGCAATCAAATCTCTTTTCTGCTCTCCCAAAAAAGCCTTTCAGATTCTGAGTACATAAATGAGACATTAGCTAAAACACTGAATGATTCATGAACCTCTGATCTTTAGATTTCAATGAATATGGAGAAGTATCGATAAAAAAATAATGAGAGAATTGTACTTGCAAATTGCTCTTTATTAAAGGTTTAACTTGCGTGGTTTCTATACCTTCCCTATCAGACCTTGCAAAGCTGCATGGGATTAGAAATCAGAGAGGATAATAACGTACAAAAATAGTTTCAAATGTTGATAACACTGAACAGCGAGAAAAACATCTTATTTGTATAATTGAGCTAAAAATAAAAATAAAGAACATTGCTACAATTGCAATATGCCATCTTGTAGTGCTCAAAACATATGTTGAAGTCTCTGAGCCATATGCTCCCATGGCTTGCTTGCTACAGAGTTGAAGAAAAGCGTAGCAATTTGCTACCAATCAACCCTCAAAAGCACAAGCGCTGGCCAAAACCTCCTACTTGGTCTGATGCCAAATCAAATTACAGCTGAAAATTGGTAGGTGAACCACATGAGAACCATAAAGAGCTCAAACTATAGGGGTGTGGTCTAGGGACACATGGGAGGAGTCAGGGGGAAGCCAAATGACTATAGATGTTGCTATGGAAACCTAACATCACATGCTACAGAAAAGACATTTTTAAGTCAGCTGCTGCTTAAGGTTCAAAGCCAAGTCCTTGTACACAGCACAACTACTGGGTTGCAAGCAAGGGAGGTGGAAGACAGGACACAATCCACCCCCCCAAGATTACTCTAGACATGCTGCTAATGGCCATGTCCTACC